CCCCTACCTCCAGTGTTCCCCCTCCCCCCTACCTCCAGTGTTCCCCCTCCCCCCTACCTCCAGTGTTCCCCCTCCCTGCATGTGCTCAAGATATGAGGACAAACCTCTGCCACTCCTCGGAGGACAACATTTGTGCACCACCAGTAGTCCAGGGAAATGAGGAGACCAACCTTCAGAGACCTGCGGGCAGAAGTAGCTTAAGCCCCAGGCAGGCTGGGGATTGGGTTGGTTCCTGAGGGCCCTTCTGCCGTAAGCCCAAAGTCTAGCCTCACCCATCAGCCCCTGTACCCGAGGTGAGGCTGGGCTCACGGTCAGCCTCTAGTAACATGGGCCCTTATGAGCTAATGAAATACTACTCATGCCAGCATCCTTTGGGTGCCCACAGACTGCTGAGAGTTAGTAGGGAAAGGAATGAGACAGGCTGTTTTGGTATACAGCCCTGACTGGTCTAAAGCTCACTATGTAGAATGGGCTGGTATCAAACACAAGAAATCAGATCGCTCTGCCTTGTAATGCTGGAATTAAGGGTGTGAGCCGCATACTCAGCCATTTTCAGATATCAGAAATAACTTCAAAACAGAAAAGGAAGCAGGAGTGTTGGCAGTTTCCCTCAATCCCAGGTCCTCCTGAAGTAGGAGGACCACAAGACCTGGAAGGATTTGGCAATACCCTGTCTCAAAAGTTTCAAAAAAAACTTGGTGTAGTGGTGCATGCCTTTAATCCCAGGACCTGAGAGACAGAGGCAGGGGAATCTTTGTAAATATAAGGCCAGCATGGTCTACTTAACAAGTTCAAGGCTAGCCAGGGACACAGAGTAAAACCTAGTCTCAAAAAAACATGTTGGCTGGGTGGTGGTGGCACATGCCTAATACCAGCACACAGCTCACAACTCTGTGAGACTAGCCTGGGCTACAGATCTAGTTCAAGGACACCCAAAGCTACACAGAGAAACCCTGTCTTGAAAAACAAAAAAGTAGCCACGCGGGTAGTGGCGCACGCCTTTAAGCCCAGCACTTGGGAAGCAGAAGGAGGCGAATCTCTGTGAGTTCGAGGCCAGCCTGGTCTACAAAAGCTAGTTCCAGGACAACAGGCTCCAAAGCTACAGAGAAATCCAGTCTCGAAAAAAACAAAAACAAAAAAAGGAAGAAAAAAGTTAAAAAAAAAATAAATAAAAGAAGAGAGGCTGGGAGATGCAGAGAACCTGGAAATCCAGGAAAACCCATGTTTGACTGTCCCCCCAACACCTGGCCACAGCCCAACTTGGTCCTAGCAGTGAGCCGTGAAGCTCATTTCCTATTAGTCAGGGTGGGCTGTACAGCAGTTGTCAGGAACATGCACGCCCTGCACAGTGTGGTGAGAGCAGCAGAAAGAGAGAAAGGCACTAGGCTCTGTTCTCACCAGTCGCAGGGCTGTGAGAACTTGGGGCCCACAGAAACAGGAAACTGTTCAACCTGTCAGTAGGGATGCCTCAGAGTTCCAGGCAGGACCACCCAGGACAGGTGTGGGGGGCCTCAAGGCTGGAAACAGGTATCCAACCACAGACATGCCCAAGGACTAGCTGCAATAAATCTCAGTGACACAGAGAGCCATCTGTCCCTGACTACCAAGTGCTGGGATTAAAGGTGTGCGCCACCACTGCCGGGCTTCAGTGACATTTCTTGTAAAATGCCTAAAGATCCCGGGACCAAAGCCTTCCCCAAGGCAGCACCAGCTCAGGGAGGAGCAGCGCTCAGAGTTACGTGGAACAAGATGACAGACACCCTGCACCATGGGATCCTGACCACTAAGAAGCTTTCTCATTAGCAAAGTCAATGAGGCTGGGCCAGCATCTGCAAGAATTCCCTCCTTAGGAGGGGAATGAACTTTGTAAAAACCCTTTGGCACTGTGCTAGGAGTGAAGAGTCAATTCCACCCAGGCCTAAGCCTCCACATCTGGAACACCAGGTCCCCTTGCATGGTAGGGAGGGTAGAACAGGGCAGCTTCTCTACGTCCGGGGTTGAAGCCCTTGCCCTTAAGGCCACGCTGATCTGGTAAAGTCTGAGGGGACATTGTCCCCTGTCCTGTCTACATGCTGCTGCATTCTAACTGCAAAGTCCCAGAAGACCCCCACAGCCCTTGGGAGAGAGGAATGTGGAGAATGGCATCCCACCCAAGCTATACCAGGTCTGGCACAGCCCTCCTACCTGCCAAAGCGCCCAATGCCATCTACCACGAGTCGCAGTTTCCTCTTCTCCTGCGCCTCTGCCACGAAATAGCGGGCTCCGAGGAGCAAGGGCACCCCCACTGCAGTGGCAGAGAGTGTCCTCCTCCACAGCAGCCTGGTTCTTGAGGTCCTGAGAGGAGACATGGGCAGGTGATGGAAGTGTTGCTCTCCCATAAGGGAGCTGGGGCCTCAGCTTCCCTCTTTCCCAGAGTATTGTCTACGGGGTCATGTAGCCACCAGAGGACACCCAACACAAGGCCCTTTTCCTAGACCTCACAACAGCACAGATGCCAGATGCTGTCTCTTGGGCAGGTCAGTCCAGATCTGCAGTCTGCAGACTGGACCACCATCCCCACTGTGATGGTGTGAGAGATCCTAATGGAAGTGAGACTTAGTGCTGCTAAAGTCAGCACAGACCAAACTGAGCAAAAACTTAAAACAAGAGCAGACTAGATCCCATACTGCCTACAACAGCAAATATCCACATATGCTGAGCACAACAGCAGCAAGAAAATCGCTATGTTCACACACAGTCTCCTCTCTGCCACGGTAGGCTAGAAGAAATGGCCTTCCAGCCGGGTGGTGGAGCGCACACCTTTAATCCCAGCACTCAGAAAGCAGAGGCAGGTGGTTCTCTGTGAGTCTTGAGAGTTCCAGGACAGCCAGGGCTACACAAAGAAATCCTATCTCGAAAAACAAACAAGAAAAAAAAAAAAAAGAAAAGAAAGAAAGAAATAAAGAGAGGGAGGGAAAGAAAAGAAAAAAGGTGGGCTTCCTCCTTCTCATAGAGCCATGCGGTCCCCACACCTCTTCTGCTGTTCTCAGCCCTTGCCTGATGCCCCACTGAGGCACTCCCATTCCCCACCTCTAAATGACCCTGTGTATCTGATGGAATGAGCACCCCGATTTGTAGTCCTCCCAATGTGTCAGTGTGTGCTCATCATAAAGTTCTTGTGGGGAGCACCTGTCTCTAGAGTGCGACCAATCACAGCTCAGAACCCTGTGGTCTCAGGCTCCGAGACACCACAGACACAAACACATCCTGTTTTGGGGTACAGGAGAAAAGTTCCAGTGTGGGGGGCCTCCTCATCGTTGTGGTTTACACAGAGCCGCCGTCTGGGAAGGGCGCCTGCCTTTGGCTGCGAGGGTCTCATTACCTGGGCAGTGGGCTCTTGAAGTTCCTCCTGAAGAATATGGCAGGGCATGGCCAGGGCTTCTGCCTGCTCTGGAGCAGGGCACAGTGGAAGTGGCACAGTCGCATCTGGGAAGGAGGCAGATGGCAAGGCTTGGCAGAGGCAGGGACACGGGGTCATAGCCTAGCACCTGCATCAGCCTGGAGCAGAGCTACACCAGACAGTACGCTCTGAACTCTCACTCAGTGAGGGCTGACCATGCTTCCAGAGCTCTGGGCAGGAAGCTGCCTGGACACCGGTCTTAGAAGACGCAGGCTGCCTACTGGATGAAGAAGCTGGAGGCAGGAGAAGAAAGACCTTCCTGAAAATGCCTCATCTTTGAGGGAAGAAAATTTGTCCAGACCTGGCTTGTCTGTGATAAGGGCCAACATCACTTCTGAGGTAGCACCCTTAACCTGTCATTTACTATTTCTTAGTGCTGACCACTAGCCGATGGCCACAGAAGTGGGCCACATCGTGTCAGCAATGCCCACCCACCGATTCTAAGAGTGGTCTCACAGGAGTGGCTTTTGTGTTGGAATCTTGTTCTGAAAGCAAAAAGAGTCAAGGAGAGCTGAAATCTGGAAATCCGGGCCAAGCCATAGCCGGGGAAGTCACAGGCCCAGAGAGGAAGTGGTAGTTGCTGCTTTGTTAAAAGGATATGCTGTGCCCATCCAACTGTCTTCTAAATGATCATGTTCACGTCCATGGTGATAGATTAGCGCCACTATCACCGCTCGCCACAGAGCTTCTTGCTGCAGCGGGCAGCAATAACTGCACAGACTCAGAACTGACCAAAGTGTTGAGAATAAGCAAGTGTGGTTGTGGAACATTTGGCCTTAAGTGGGACTTCTACATCACCCCTTCCAATGCTCAGGAACACTACGGGAGAGACGAAAGAGCTGAGGATGGGACAGGGTGCTCTGGAATGCTCTTCTCTGGGCACAGCATGACTACTGCACTCCTGAACACATAACCTTTGTAAGACTTGCATAGGACTGGACCCATCAATACCCTGTCATGGGGAAGAGGGGGACTCTGCAGTAAACCACTGGTCAGCTGCCCAGGCTCCTGACCATAGTGACACATACCCTGTGAACGAGAAAAGTGGACTAGTTGGAAGAGAGGGGAGCATCTAGAGTGGGAAGAGGAGAGAGAATAGTGGGAGGGGAATGTAATTAAAATACATTATATACATGCATGAAAATCCTAGAACGAAATTCATTATTATGGGCTGGGCATGGTAGTACATGCCTTTAATCCTAGTGCCTGAAAGGGGCAGATGGATCTCTGAGTTAGAAGCCAGTCTGATCTACAGAGCAAGTTCATGGCAACCAGGGCTATACAATGAGATCCTGCTTCAGGAAAAGGGCTGAGGTTCGGAGAGATGGCTCAGTGGCTAAGAGCACAGGCTGCTCATCCAGAGGAGTTGGGTTTGAATCCCAGTACCCACATGACAGTTCACAACCATCTAAAACTCCAGTTCCCGGAATCTGTTGCCTGCTCTGGCCTCCACAGGAACCAGGCATGCATGTGTACACAGGCATGCACACAAAACACGTAACCTCCGCAGGAACCAGGCATGTCTGTGTACACAGGCATGCAAACAAAACACATAAAATACATTTTTTACAAACTTTTAAGAAGAAACTCATTATTCTGTATAATTAATATATATTAATAAAGCATCATCATCATTATTACTTGAGATAGGATCTCATTATATATCCTTGGCAGGCCTGGAACTCAATACATAGACCAGGTTGGACTCAAACTCACAGAAATCCACCTGCCTCTGCTTTCCAAGTGCTGGGACTAAAGGGGAGCATGAAGCTGGAGGGCGGCGCAGTGGTTTAGAGCACTTGCTGCTCTTCCTGAGGGCCAGAGCTTGGTTCTCGGCACCTGGGGGGCAGCCCACAACGGTTGTGACTCATGTGAACATACCCACATGCAAACACATAAATACCTACACAAAATTAAAGTAGTAAGTGTAAAATAAATGAAAATTTAATAAATGATAAATCTTTAAAAGCATCATCCCACACCTGGCTATAAAACATTTTTGAAAAGATACAAAGCAAGAAAAAAAAAAAAGAAAGAAAGAAAGAAAGAATACAAAGCTGGGCACTAGCGGTGCACATCTTTAATCCCAGCTCTCAGGAGGCAGAGACAGGTGGATCTCTGCCTCAAAAACAAACAAGCAAGCAAACAAGTTTGCCCTGGCAGGTGTTGTGGAGCATGCCTTTAATCCCAGCACTCAGCACTTAGGCAGCAGAGGCTGGAAAGATGACTCAGATGTTAAAGGCTAGGCTCACAACCAAAAACAATAGATAGAAGCCAGGCAATGGTAGTGCACACCTTTAATCCCAACACTCAGGAGGCAGAGGCAGGCGGATCTCTGTGAGTTCGAGATCTGGTCTACAAGAGCTAGTTCCAGGGCAGGCTCCAAAGTGACAGAGAAACCCTGTCTTGAAAAACAAAACAAAAAAACAAAACAAAACAAAAAGGTAGATGCAAGCATGAGGTGGTAGACATTCTGGTTTGGTCACTGTGTGGGTGTAAATGAGGAAACAGGCCCTGTACTCAATGAATATGGATACTCCTGTGGCAAAAAAAAAAAAAAAAAGAAAAGAAAAGAAAAAAGAAACAAAAACTAAAATCCAGGGCAGCAGTCACCTAGTGGGCAAACAAAGAGAATCACTGAACATTTGAGGCCAGCTTGGTGCACAAAGGTAACCCCCGTCTCAAAACAGAAGTAAAAAAGGGGTAGCATGCACAGACCTGGTTCAGTATCCAATAGCACAAGGTGAAAACAAGTTCTAGACTATTTCCTATAATAACAAAATCCCAGGAAAGGAGGTAGCATTCTATAAAGGAGGCAGCTATTTTAGGGCAGGGCCCTAATCTAAGAAGACTCTGTGCCCAGGGTTAACCTGGCACCAGCTAGCGACTCTTCCTATGACCCGACTTGGGGGAATCGTGCTTTTTCAGGTTTCCTGTTTTGTTTTGTTGAGAGAGGGTCTCACTGTAGCCTAGGTTGTCATGGAAGAAGGGGGCTTTAAGGACCAGGCAGGTAAAGGCTCAAGATGTCATTCATATCAGCAGAGCAAATGAAGCCCTGGGAGACTCTGGACAGGCTCCTGGCTTTGGCACTATCTATGCAAATGAAGTTTCCTTCAATAAGCCTGGTCTCTTGCTTTGAAAAGCAATGAGAATGACTTACATTCACAAAGGATTCCCGAGAGCATGGAGCACTGCCCACCACACCAAACCTTATTCATATGTGTCCAGCAGGCGAGCGCCAAGGCCACACTGGGATCAAAGATTTCCCCACAGAGCACTTCAAGGCTCTGCCCCTGTGCCAGCTCCTTGCTGGTGTCCTCCGCTCTCTCCAGCTAACACAGATAACAGTCCTCAGACCACTTCTCAGATTGAACTGTTGGCTGAGAATCAGCTTCCCACTGTCTTCTTCTCCGTTTTCTTCTTCCTCCTTCTCTTTTTTTCTTTTTCAAGACAGGGTTTCTCTGTGTCCTGAGAACTCAGCTTGCCCTGTCTTGTCTTGCCCTGGCTGACCTGGAACTCGGCTCTGTAGACCAGGCTGGCCTCGAACTCAGAGATCCGCCTGCCTCTGCCTCGTGAGTGCTGGAACTAAAGGTGTGCACCGTCTCCTCCAACCCCCAGTTCCCACTGCTTTATTTTTTTTTAAGACTTATTTATTTTATGCATATGAGTGCTCTATCTGCATGTACATCTTTAAACTAGAAGAGAGCATCAGATCCCATTTAGATAGTTGTGAGTCACCATGTGGTTGCTGGGAATTGAACTCAGGACCTCTGGAACCGCTGAGCCATTTCTCCAGTCCCCTCCCACTGCTTTTCAAATGGAAAAAAAACAAAAACAAAACCTGGTGTAGTTCTCTCAGAAGAGAAGTCAGACCATTTCCAACATGTGCAGACAGGTAACACCCTGAGCACACAGAAAAACTTTCACTATCTGGGGCAATAGAGGACTGGCTGAGATTCCAAGGGGCCGCTGAGCCAGGCTGAGAACAGAGAAGCACGGAGGCCGCGATTACTTGAGACTCATCATCCAGAAGAGAATGCACAAGCCTGTTAGCCAACAGATGAAGCTGAAAGAGTAAGGCAGGCGACACACAGCGACCTGAGGCAACAGAAGTCAGGAAGTCTCCCACATGAAGCCCTTCTGTGCTGGACAGGGCTCACAAAAACCTGCCCAGAATCATAAACTGAAGTCAGCATGAAGCCTCAGTCTTACACTAAGGCTGAGTGGGAAGGGCCTGAATACAGCCCCATGCTGACTTAAAGGAGGCAGCCGGGCTGAGAGCTCACTGTTCATGACCCAAAACTTAAAAGGTAAAAAGTCCTTCAGGGAGATTCATGAGTCTCAGGCTTGCTCATCTCCAACCAGGCCTGTGCTGCCTCAGCCAAGCTGTTAGCAGAACCTTGGGTTTTCTGGCAATGTTGGGACAATGCAGTGTCTAGGTGACAACTTCATATTGAAGGCATGTTGTAGAGGAGACAAGTATTGAAGGCATGTTGTAGAGGAGACAAGGCCGGCCAGATCAGTCCACCCAGTATGCCCCAGAAGGGGACTTCTGTCACACGGCTCATCTGTGAAAGGCTGGGGCGATGAATACACTCAGAACTCACAGGTGAGTCGCTAAAGGTTCACAGGGACATCGAGTATACAGGAGATGCCAGTTCCAATGACTGGTTACCACTGTCAGGGCTCTGGTGAGCACACAGTCTTCTCCTCCATTGCCAAATGCTGCAAACTACTCTTGCAGGCAAGGCCTGAAGCCCATTTCCCACTGCCTTCCCCCATAATCTCTGAAGAATTAGCATTGCAATTGAAGCCTCCTCACTTGGGATGTAGAACAAAGATTCTTTCAAGAGGCACCTGTAGTGTCCTCTGCCCCACCAGGGCAAAACTCAGGTAGGAGATGCCAGTCATGACGCCAAGTAGATAAAGCCCTATGCTGAAAACTCCAGAGTTACCATCCCCTTCGAGGGTTACTCAAATGCTTGGGTCCTTCTGGGATAGGCTCCGCAGCACCCAGTAAGCTATCTTCTGAAATCCCCATCAAATGAGAAAGAATGTTAGGCCCCAAAAGGCACTGGGGGTGAGGAGCCAAACCTACAGCCAAACCCCAAACAAATCCCGAACAAGAGCTGCCCAGTGTTGTGGTCCACAAGGCCTGCAGTTCTGTCCTCAAATACAAACCCTGACCTACAAGTAGCCCCAGGAGTGTGGGGAAAAAACCACAAGAGATAAGGAGAGGAGGAGGGTCTTCTGGAGCAAAACAAGGCCACAGGGGCAGGGAAGTGCAGAAGGAGGGACTCAGATAAGAGGGTTAAAGACACTGTTTGCCCAAGCTCCACCTGCAGCTGCTGCGCTAGCCAGTGAACACTACATAATCAGCACTGGGGAAAAGAAAACCTTCATTGTTGAAGTGACCCTTCTCTCCAGGTCCCTGTGATGCCCACAGCTCTGGACGCGACCACCACACTGTTGGCCAGCAGACAAAAGGTTGACAGTACATTCTCTCCTACCAGAACACGCCCCTTTGAGCAAGTCCACATCAGCCAGCGGTGACTGTGTAGCCCTATCACCCATTCCAGTTTGGACAGAGTGCCATCAGCTCCCTGCACCTGGTTCTTGTGTTGCTGTTTGTTTTTGTTCTTTTTGTTTGTTTGTTTTTTAAGACTGGGTCACACTGTGTGGTTCTGGCTGGCATGGAACTCACACTGTGGACCAGAATGGCCTTGAACTCAGAAATCCTCCTGCCTCTGTCTCCCAAGTGCGGTGCCACTGTGCCTGGTGGTTCTCAGGCTTTTTACAGGGAATGTGTGGCTAATCTGTCCGCAGAAATACGCAGTCAAGAGTTCTTCTCCAGAGACTGCATGAAACAGCAAAAAGTATAGCCTAGGAGAACTCTCCAGTCAGACTCAGTAGGTGAGAGGAAGGTGAAAGATGTCCAGATGATCCAGTCTGCACGTGACAGGAAGTCACTGCCAAGACTCAGGGCCCCCCAAAACGTGACCAGACGAAGAAGTTTAACAGGACAGATGGCCAGTGCACCTCCTTATTCAAAAAGTCTGGAATGTTTGGTTGGGGGCTTCACCCAGATCCTGGCATCCATTAACACTCACCAAGAAGGAAACTGAGGCATTTCCCAAAATTGGGAGGGGACAGACTGGGGACTGGAGCTAGAGGGAGTAGGTGTCATTAAAAGGACACCAGCCCACAACAGTGACCTGCAAGGACTAATCAGAGGTTAAAATCTGCCTTTCCAAAAGCACGCCTTTGATCCCACCATCAGGAGGCACAGGCAGGAAGGTCTCTGTGAGTTCGAGGTCAGCCTGGTTTACAGAGTTAGTTCCAGGAACCAGGGATACAAAGAGAAACTCTGTCTCGAAACACAAAACAAAACAAAAACTTGCCTTTCCACACCCCACGGCTGTCGTGAGGACTAACATGATTATGGGGAGAAGTCGTGCAGTTCTAAGGAGCTGTGCTAAAAGCCAGCACGGGTTTCTTCTCCCTGGGTCTTCAACTGACAAGGTGCCATCAGAAAGCACGCCCACCGTCGGGCAGCTCACTGCAAGCCAAAAGTTAACCCAACTCGGTGTCTACCGGTGTAACCTACAAAGCCAGATGGACTAGAAAAACAACCTCGGAGAAGTCCAAGTTTAAAAACAATACAACCTCAGAAATGGCCATTCTCCAAGGCCAGGGGACAGGCGAGGACATCTCCAAGGCCAGAACAAGGGGCCAATGCAGACAGGGCAAGCCAAACTCAGCGGGTGTCATGGGGGCGTCTCCTTCCCCAGAAGCAGGTAGAGGGAACAGAGCAGCCTCCCGTGGAGACCCGGAGGGGGTGCGTCGCGGACAAGGGCAGGAGGGAAAGGACCCTGGGGTAAGGTCAAGTGATGCTGAGTCTTCCCAAAGGGGATCTGGGGAGCAAAGGGAGGCCGAGGACCGGAGAGTTCTCCAGAGCTTTGGTATCTATGGGTTGGGCCCGGGGCCTGGGTTGGGTCCAGGATCTCAGAGTACCGAGTTAGACCCAACGCACGGGTGTGGAGAGCACAGAATCAGGGCCCGGGATCAGGGCGTGCGGGGGCGGGGTCCTCACCGGCCGCCACATGTCCCCGGCAGCGGTCTCCTCTTGATTTCACCGCAGATGTCCCTGGTCCCCAGCCGACCCCGCGAGAGAGCATGCAATGCACATGCGCACCGGCCCGACACACGGCGCTGGGTAGCGTGAGGGGGCCACGCCCCCAAGACGTGCAGGCCTCTGCCTCGCCGCAGCGGCCCCTTGAGGTCGCCCGCGGCATAGCATCATAGGAGAGCCCAGTTTCATGCTCAGAGCAAGGAGGCACTTCGGAGTTTGTATTTGTTTTTGTGGTTTTTTGTTTTGTTTTGTTTTAATTTGTTTGTTTTGTTTTCTTTTGGCTTTTGGAGACAGTGTTTCTATGTGTAGCAGCCCTGGCTGTCCTGGAACTCACTCTGCAGACCAGGCTGGCCTCGAACTCACAGACATTCGCCTGCCTCTGCCTCCCGAGTGCTGGAATTAAAGACGTGCACCACCACCGACTGACCTGGGAACAATTTTCAAGAGTCAACTGTTTGTGGTTTCCGAGACAGGGTTGCTCTGTAGCCCTGGCTGTCCTGGACTGACCTCCAACTCACAGAGGTTTACTTGCCTCTGTCTCATGAGTGCTGGGATTAAAGGTGTACACCACCACTGCCTGGCAGAACCACCTTCTCAGGCAGGGTCTAGTTTCTGTTGTGCTGTGCACACAGGCTAACTAGCCAACAAGCTCATGGACAGTTCTCCTAGCTCCTCATCCTAGCTCATAGGAGTGCTTCTTACATGGTTCTAGGAACTGGGCTTCCTAGGGAGCAATTTTACCCACACAGCCATCTCCCCAGATCCTTGAGTTGGCTCTTTAATTTTGTGAGGCTCACTGTCCTCCCTGAAGGTGGCAGTGTAACTCAAAGTCAACACTTGGTCATTTTCCCTACAGCTTGCTGTATTCACTTGCATAGGCAATGACAGTTGACAGCACCCGCCAGAGCCACTGTCGGGCCAGCCACACGCTGAGCCAGAGACACCATAGCTTTCTTGCCCACGATGAGAGATAGAGTCCAAGATCTCGTGTCCTGTCTTCTTCACTCTCTGTGACACCCATCTCATCTGCACATATCCTTCTGGAGGGCCCTATACCACCTGGCTCCCCGGAACTCCCCTGCTTTCCTGACCACAGATGTCGCTCTCAACCCTGCCACTTAGGGCAGAGGGACCATCTTGTGTTGATCACTGTGTTCTTTGAGACCTCCTCCTTTCCCCCTCTAACATACTTGCTAGAGTTGGGAAGGTGGCTTCTGGGATGGCCATGGAAGCAGGTCCCAAGATTGTGTCACGCCTTCAATCCCAAACTGGGTTTGGAGTGCCTGGCAGGAGGCAGAGAGTCAATATGATATGGGTACAAAGTTCCTGAGCCAGAGAATCTAGGTCAGTGGCACGAGGTTCAGGGTCGCCTCTTTCTGGAGCTGCTCCTTTCCAGGCCTGGGAGGTATTGGTTGTAGCTGAGATGTCTGGGAGTAATTGGGGTGTGAGATGTCAGGGACAAGAAGGGTGCAGGGTGCACAAACCCCAAGACTAAATGGAAGAAGTGAGTGTTTCAAGACCTGGCTATTCATAAAACAGATGGGAGAGGTAAGTGGAAGCAGGGAGGGAGGCAATCGAATTCAGATATACAGTAGGGAGCAAGTCAAAGTCCTCAGCCCTATGAGGTCACACCTAAACCGTAAGACAGGCCAGCTAGTGGCCTGGGAGACTGTGGTTGTTTGAATATAATTGACCCCATAAGCTGATAGGAAGTGGTATATTAGGAGGTGTGGCTTTGTTGGACTAGGTGTGGCCTTGTTGGAGGAAGTGTGTCACTGTGAGGGTGGGCTTTGAGGCCTCCTATGCTCAAACTCTGCTCGGTGTAGACACAGTTTCACTTCCTGTTGCCTGTGGATCTTGATGTAAACGCTCAGCTTCTCCAGCACCATGTCTACCTGTCTGCCTCCATGTCCCACCATGGCGACAATGACTAAACCTCTGAAACTGTAAACCAACCCCGATAAAATGTTTTCCTTTGTAAGCATTGCTGTGGCCATGATGTCTCTTCACAGCAATAGAAACAGAGGCCTTGATGAGAGCTAACAGGGACCTGTTGAAACATCTTGGACCCCAAAGTAGTTCCTGAAAACTCCAAGACATCTATTTAACCCAAACCATTCCAAACATTATGGGGTGCAGTCTCTGCCGGCCGCCTGTCCCTGAGCATCTGCAGCTGAACCCCCACATTTCATATTGTGTATTTTTGGTGCCATCTGTCAGGATATACATAAAGTCACTCAGCTATACAGGAACCCAGTATAACCTCATAGTGCAAGTAATGGGCCCATGGACCTAAAAGCCAGGCTTGGAGCTGAGGTGATGGGGAAGTGGAGAAGGGACCCTTCTCCATGACAGAGACACCGGAAGAGGGCACAGGGTGTTTGCAGATAAAACTGGTGCTGTGGAAGAGAAGAGTAGAAGGCCAGGCTATCCTAGGCTCCAGCCAGCACAGCAGGTAGGAAGGGTGACACTAATCAATCTGGACAGTGATGGTGCTTGAGCCTGTGTGGAGGCACCCAAGCAACTACATGGACTGTCCAGCAGCCCCCTCAGGAAGGCCAAGTACAGTTAGAAAGGACTTAGTCCTGTGCTTTGGCCCGGAGCCACCTCTAAGCCACAAGACAGCAAGAACTAGCAAACACAGGGGTCTCCAAGAGCAGAGCTTCTGTCTTTGCTAAGATGACAGCAGAGACTCCTTGTGGCCCAGTGCCACAGTCCTACTCTGCCTATGGCTCCTCCCGTGGGTTCCCCCCCACACTGAAAGGCTGTGGCCACTCTCTCATAGTGTATTCCTCCCCTCATACATATGCTTGGCAAACACCCAATGTTTTGCCTCCAGACCTTGATATGCAGACAGAGGAGGCCGAGACACAGTGCCCAACTCTCAGACCCTTAGACCTCAAAGGCTACCACCACCAGGACCCTGCTATGTGAAGGCCTGTCCTCTGAACCAACCGCCAGCATCTGTAGGAGTTTTGGAGGGCCCGCTCAGAAAAGATCTGCTTGTTGCTTTCCCTCATAGAGGTGGGCAGGAAGAAGGGGTCATGGGATCCTCACCACAGCATCCAGCTACCACTTCCAATCATCTGTGTGCAATTCTGCTCTTATTGCCTGTGTCCTTGGAGCCCTGGAAAAGCAGTTAGAGGAGAGGGAGAGGGAAGAACTAGGGGAGATGAGGGGCTCCATCTATTGTCTATAGGAAAGCCATCTTCCTGCTGGTTAAGGCTTCTCAGTGCAGATTTTTGTTTCTTTTTTCTTTTTTTTTTATTTTTCGAGACAGGGTTTCTCTGTAGTTTTTGGTGCCTGTCCTGGAACTAGCTCTTGTAGACTAGGCTGGCCTCGAACTCACAGGGATTCGCCTGCCTCTGCCTCCCGAGTGCTGGGATTAAAGGCGTGCGCCACCACCGCCCGGCTCAGTGCAGATTTTTGGACAGGAGCACCCACACTTCACTAAGTAACCCCTCACCTATGCTCTGTAAGGAAGTCTGATAAATCTACTGGTTCCCCAGAGTGAACTTTAGAGGATCATTCCTGGGGTTGTCATTGGGACCTCAGGAGGAGATTGGGGGGTACAGCTCCACAGAAGAGTCAGGTCTTCCCCATCTGCCTTTCTCAGGGATCCTCCTAGTCCCTACCTCTAGGACAAACATCCCTGGCCCATTGACTCTACCCCCTCCTGGTCTGTCCCTCATGTCACAGGCTTGGCCCTGTCCTCTGGGTAGGACTGGGTCACTTTCTTCTGTACCCACAATGATCTCACCTGCTGGATCAGCACAGATGAACTCATGCGCTTGGATTCACACCTACCATCCACAAGCAAGTCTTCTCTTTCTTTCTTAGTGTGCTGATTATTTGGGCTATGGCAAGACTTACTAGTTCTTATTGGTAGAATGCAGGCAAACAGATTCCCTTCGTGGTCTTGTTTCTTATATTTCTCAGGTGACTTTTCAGCCCCCCGCTCAGTGGTCAGGGTTTCTATGACCACCCAGTACCTCTTAGTCCTTCTATAGCAGGTCCAGCTCCAGTTTATTTCCTAATCTTCCTTCTGCCGTGCCCTGCCCCACATGACAGCCCATCCCTAGCTGCTGACCCTGGGACCCATGGTCCCCTGTTCCTTCTCTATCTCCACACCTTCTTCATTCCCCTCATCTTCCACTGAAAGGCAGCAAAGAAGACTCTGACAAAGAACTGGATCCACCTGCCTCTGCCTCCCAAGTGCCGGGATTAAAGTCGTGCGCCACCACCACCTGGCAAAATAAACCATAAAATTAAAAAAGAGTGAAAATGGTTCTCAAGATCATTACGTTGCCTTTGTGCTATTTCTTTCATTTTTTAGGTGTGTGTGTGTGTGTGTGTGTGTGTGTGTGTGTCTGTGTGTCTGTGTGTGTATACATAGAAGTCAGAAGGGGCTGGCGTTACGGATGTCTTTTTTTGTTTATTTTTTTGTTTGTTTTTGTTTTTCGAGACAAGAATTCTCTGTGGCTTTGGAGCATATCCTTGTAGACCAGGCTGGCCTCAAACTCATAGAGATCCGCCTACCTCTGCCTCCTGAGTGCTGGGATTAAAGGTGTGCGCCACCACCGCTCAGCAAGATGGTTTTTGTTTCTTTGTTTGGTTTTTGTTTTTGATTTACTAAATGCTCTATCTGCATGAGCCCCCGTGTGGTTACTGGGCGTTGAGCTTTACTGGGAATTGAGCTCAGTGCCTCTGGAAGAGCAGTCCGTGCTCTCAAGCGCTGAGCCATCTCTGCAGTCCCTGTAGTTATAGATATTTGTGGGACACCAAAGCTTCAACAATGAAAAGAATTTCAGAGCCGGGCAGTGGTGGTGCACACCTTTAATCCCAGCACTCAGGAGGCAGAAGCAGGTGGATCTAGGCCAGTCTGGTCTACAGAGCGAGTTCCAGGATAGGTTCCAAAGCTACACAGTGAAACCCTGTCTCGAAAAACCAAAAAAGAAAAAGAAAGAAAAGGATTTCAGAATTAGCCATTATGATGAAGCAATGTTGGAGATTCTAATAAAGCTATCTAAGCACTGGAGTAAGAGAGGAAGAGAGGGACTTGAGGGGAAAATGGAGCAGA